CGGCCTATAAATTTTAATAAATTCAAATTCAAATTCAAGATGAATTCAGAATAAGAGAGGCAAACAATTTACATTTGTAAAATAAGATTTCAAACTTGCCTTGCCTGAGGCTGTCTTTCATAAGCACTTAAACTGCGTTTTATACCTGTAACAAACGTACTGAATGTATATGAGTCAGCAAACAATTTAAATTCATAAAATACTTTTCTTCTAACATTTGCATCCTACCATAGCAATTTTTAAAAATATATTCTGGAAATAAAAGACAACTCTAAATACAAAAAGTCTAGAGCATCATGATTCATACTTATCTAAATATCACATATTAATTATACCTGTCAAAGCATAAGAATATTTTATTTGCTGGCTATATAATTTGTTAGAGGGTACATGGTGGCTTAGCGGTTAAGACTTTGGGCTTGTCAAAGGGAAAGTTGGCAGTTCAAGACCCAAGTACCATGTGACAAGGTAGCTCTTGTTTTTGTCTCAGTTCCTGTCAACTAGAAGTTCGAAACCATGCAAATGCAAGTAGATAAATAGGTACTACTTTGATGGGATTGTTAACAGTGTTTCCATGTGCCTTGGAATATAGTCATGCCAGCCACATGACCGCAGAAGCATATTCAGACAAAACTGTCTCCCTTGGCTACAAAATGGAGATAATCACTGCCCCTTAGAGTCACACATTACTGGACAGGATAAACCTTTACTTTTACAATCTATTAGATGCAATAATTGTATCTATGGTAGTTTGTTTTTACTGCATTTTTACTGTGCATACTGTACATTTAAGAAAGCAAACTATTTTCCTGCCTGATATATATGTTTTCTGGATCAGAGCTCAAAGTAGGCAAATCTACCTTCATCCAGAATTAAAAAGAAAAAAAATCACATACTCTCCATTCCAATTTTTCTCTTAGTCTTGTTATTAGGAATTAGTTTAGGAAAGGATAAAGTATAATATTAAAAGAGTTCAAGCTATTTTTTCCAAACATTTTTATGATGGTTATAAAACAAATGACTTGCAGTTGTTAAATGAATCATGTAGTCACTAAAAGAATCTGGCTTCCCCCACTGACTTTGGTTGTTAGAAATGTGCTGGGAAGGTTGCAAATGGCAATCACATGATCCCAGGACACTATTACTGTTGTAAATACATACCAGTCACTGAGCACTCTAATTTTGATCACATAACTGTGAGCCTGCTGTGACAGTTATAAGTGTGAAGACCAGGTGTTAATTACTTTTTTTCAGTACCATTGTAATTGCTGCTAAGAACAAATGGTTCTTTTTTCTTACCATTTTCCAACATTAACATGTAACATACATAATAAACTTCTGTTGTGTTTTAACTGGAAAAATCTAAAAGGGTAGACATCTATTAATGTGGAAGTTTGAAAAATTCTCAGATTAAAATTTTTCACAGGGCATATATCCCTATTCAAAATATTATTTGAATCCTCTCAAAATAAATTAAGATTAAAAGTTCAAATCTCACAAACCCCCTACAAGAATTAATATTCCAAAAATATATAAAGAGGAGAGATAGATTTAGATATAATGAGTAATCATGAATAGTTGAAGTCATAAAGCTTCCACTCTTCTTATGATTTAAGTCAGGGATCAAATCTAAGTGTTCTTTTATATTAATTTCATTTATTAGAATTTATTTCATATAATTATTCATTCTTGAAAAATATAACAGACATCAAGGATAAACATACTGTATACTATCACAGTAAAGATACATATCAAATATTTACTATGGAAAACGTGTGAAGAAGAGAAACTAAGATGACTAAGAGCCAGGAGACAAAAACATATGAAGGATTGTAAGAATTGGGTGTGATCAGTCTAGAGAAAATAAAGGCTAAGGGTGGCATAATAGCAGTATTATTTGACATAATAGCAGTATTATTTAAATTTATTTTTCAAATCACCAGAAGGCAAGAAAAGAAACAATGGATGGAAACTAATCAAGGAGAGAAAACAACCTAGAACTAAAGGGAAACTACATAACTGTGAGGACAATTAACTAGTGAAACTCCTTGCCTTCAGAGGTTGTAGATGCTTTATCTCTGGAGGTTTTTAAAAAAAGACTGGACAGCCACCTACCTGAAATGATATAAGGTCTCTTGCTTGAGCTGGGGAATTGACTAGAAGACCTCCAAGGTCCCGATTTTAATTGATTGAAGTGGTTACTTATCACAATGTTCAGCTTTACTTTTTATAACACAGCTTATGCTTTTTCAAACATAAAAATCCTTTAAATTTGATACTTATTCAGTTTATAATGCCCTTTTTAAAAAGACTGGATAAGTAATAAAATGTTATTGTAAATATTGTTTTTATATTTCACATTGTAGATCAGTTTATTTGCAGCTTAACACACTTACAAGCATGAAGATAGCTCATGGGACAGACTTTGCAACAATCAACATCGCCCAGATTCACTTAAAGCAGATAGATGATGATGCTACAAAATGTGTATTAGTTAATTTTTGAGCTTCTTACACCGCATTAATTTGATTATGGATGATTTTTAGCTAAATCTCTGATTTTTAAATCAAAAAAATTCTCATTTGGTCTCATTTGGTCTTTCTAAATTTATTCTGAAACTGTAGGATCATCATTATGTTTTCATTTATGTGCGCTATCTTACTACTACTCAGATACTATAGTAAAGTTTTTGTCATCACTAATAGCTTCCAATCAACATTATCAACAATTCTTGAAGAAACTTACCAAATGCTGACTCTTTAAGGGGACTTGAACTAGAACTGCTAGAATCTGCAATATCCAATTCATCATCAAATTCCGAGAAGACATCTTTGTAAAAATAAAAACAGAATGAACTCTTTTCTGCTATTCTGATCAGGAGTAAAAAACTTTTCTTGTTTAATCTTACCTTTTTCTGTGTTTTCTAAAATGCAGTTATCATCTGAAAGGGTTTCATCTTTCTCTTCATCCTTTCCAGAAAACTGGTGGAGGTTTTCAGATAGAATATCAGTATTTTCATAAAATTCACTTTTTAAACTAGCTGCTTCACTACTACTGCTGCTGAAACTTGACTTTTCATAACATTCCTGCACAATAATAAAAACAATTATTTAAGAAAATAAATAATTTGCTTGACAACACTAGTCTGTGAAGTTCACGCTAAGTGGTATCCATGAAATTTCACAGATATTTCTATTATGTTAATCAAGCTTATTTCTACCAGCTGGACAAAACAGTATCATGAATAAATTTTCAAACAAACACATTCTAATAAGAATTATTATACAAAAATTATGAAATCATTAAGAAAGAAATGGGTCAGTTTTATGTCAAATTCAAGGCCGCTTTATAGTAAATCAAAGTTTACATTTTGCTTTTCTTTCTCCTACTTATTTGTGGCAATGGCCTTCATGACATTCTCTTTGGAGTGTACAGTTTCTATTTCTCATTTTTAAACACATTTCAAGCAATGTTGGAAGTTCTGTATGATTAGATCATATGTCCAAGTGATGACTAGTTTTTTAGTGATGGTCGTGATGCCACCTGTCTTGGAAGAGCTAGTAATACACCCTCGCCTGAAGAAACTATCATTTATTTGAAAATTTTTATCTATTCCCTAATCTTCTTTTTTAAAAAAAGATTGTTGAGAAAATGATGCAGCTTAAATTCCAGACAATCCTAAAGGAAGCAGATTTTCTAGATCCATTTCACTTGGAGTTGAAACCTATTATGATTTGGCTGCTCCACTGTGGGATATTACAGTGCTTGTTCCATCACATTAGTATCTATAACAAAACACAGGAAGAGGTCAGTATGTTGATGACAATCAGCTATATATCACCACCCCACAAAGGGCTGAAGATACTCTGAAGGTCTTGAATTAGTGCCTGGAGGCTGTTAAGAGCTCAGTGGGTGAAACAATCTCAAACTAAACCTTATTAAAACAGAATTGCTATTGCTCATTAAATACCATGGTTTTCTAGATGAAAAACTATGCCACCTTTGGTCTGACCTAAGCATAGTACATAAAATTATCTGCTACAATGTCCTACCTGTTAATGACTACTTCAGCTTCAACAACAACAATACACAAGCACACAATAGATACAAACTTAAGGTAAACCACTCCAAACT